TGGCAAAATCATATATAGGAAATTGAATGTTACCATAGAAAGTAACATTTTCACATTCAATTAAAAAAATCAAAAACCTAGTAAGTTTGCGAAACGTAACGCGACACGTTATGTTACGTTTATATAAGTGTCACGTTACGTTACGTTTATGCAGGTATCACGTCATGTTACGTTTATATAGGTGTCACAATGCTTTACGTTTATGTAGGTGTCACGTCACGTCACGTTTATGTAATGTCCCATCTGATATGGTCACGTTACGTTTCGCAAACTTAATCTATGGTAACATTCAATTTCCTATATATGATTTTAGAATTATTTATGATATTAACAACTAATATTGAGGGTAAATGTGTCAACAAATTTCACACAGGACTTATATGAACATAAATTTTTTAGTAGGACCATATGTAGAATAAATCTCCCTAATAGGACTTATAAATAATTTTCTCATTTTTTTAATATGATTGAAATAAGATAAACATAAACACTCACAAAAAGAAAAATATGATTGTAGTTTGTTCAATAGTTCTAAATAATTTTCTTATTTACTATTTTAATGGTTCTTTTTTATAAGTTTTTTTTTTTTATTATGAGAAAAATATGATTATAGTTAGATAGCATTAAAAAAATTGTGATTTGTATGATTTGAAATTATTTCATTTTTATAAAATCTTAAAAAACATAATTTATATATTAAAAAAAATCTAAAACAAATATAAATATCTATAATTATCTCGTGCATAGCACGGGTGATAGGCTAGTACTATATATTATGTAAAAAGGGTTTTTAACCCCAAGGCCTGTAAGAGCTTTAATGGGAAATGATAGAGAGCTCTAAATATAGAGCTCTAATTTGAGCTCTAATGATGTGTCAAAGCAAAAAAAAAATAAATAAATAAAACAAAACAAAGCACAAACATCACATCAGGGTGGGACCCACCTTCCTATTAGAGCTATTAGAGCTCCTATATTAGAGCTCTAAAGCATTTTTGGAGCTTTAATATCACAATCTAAATTTTTTAAATTTTTATTAAAAAAAAAATTTCAACATTTATTGATTTGATTAAAATCTCCTGATCAACATTTATTAATTTTTTTTAATCCACATGTCTACATTTATTGATTTGGTCAAAATTTCCTGATCAATATTTAAAATCCCCTCATACAAATAATTATAAATACAATATGTGTATAGTTATTGTACTACCTTTTTAACTTCTCTTATATACTATGATTAGTGATAAAATTATTAAATTATTTTTATAAAAAATCTTAAAAAATATAATTTATATATTAAAAAAAATCTAAAATAAATATAAATATGTATAATTATTCCGCGCTTAGCACGGGTTAGTTATAATTTAACCAAGACTGAATAACGTGAGCACGTGTTCGGCGTTGAGAGCGAGTGGGTCGCACTACAAGTACGGAAGCGAGTGGAAGAGTAATAAGGCTTGCTTGGGCAACCACGGTTAAGTCATTTTTTTTTTAAACTTTTTAATTTTTTTTTTTGCATTACCTCTTTATTTTTTTATATATATTTTGTAAAAATAAATCAAAAATTAAAAAAAATCAGTTTTTATATTTTTCAAAACAAGCCCAGTTCTCAATTTTTGTATGAGTGATCCTCACCAGTGTTGTAATTGGTAGAGATGATAAGATTCATTATTTTGTAAAGTAAATTATATTTTTGTTTTTTTTTTATGTTTTATCATATTTTTACTTTGGCCTTTAATTTTTTTTTCTATTTTAGAGTTACATGTTTCAAGTTTTTTTTTAAAAATTTATTCTTAAATTAACTTTTATTCAAAATTAGATAAATTTATATTTTTCAAAACAAGCCCAGTTCTCAATTTTTGTATGAGTGATCCTCACCAGTGTTGTAATTGAAATGATAAGATTCATTATTTTGTAAAGTAAATTATATTTTTGTTTTTTTTTTATGTTTTATCATATTTTTACTTTGGCCTTTAAATTTTTTTTTCTACTTTAGAGTTACATGTTTCAAGTTTTTTTTTTAAAATTTATTCTTAAATTAACTTTTATTCAAAATTAGATAAAAAAATATTACATTATCACATAATATAAAAGGTATTTTATTATATTAGAGTTTGGATTTATATAAGATGTGTGAATTATACGTAATAAAATATTTTTATACTATATGACTATCAAAGTATTATTTTTTGTTTAATTCTAGACAAAATTAAATTTTGAAATAAATTAAAAAAATTTAAAACATAGAAGATGAATATGGAAAAAATAAATTTAAAAGGATTAGAGTGAAAAAATAGTAAACATAAAACGAGATAATCTAATTTACCCATTTTATAATAGGGTATAGACTAGTGTTTGGGGATTGGAGGGTGGAATAATTTTAGCCGTTGTTGCCTCAAACGCGGGTGAAAAAAAGCAACAGATGACTTGGGGTGGGCGTCTCTGTTGTGTGCGTGTGTGGGTGTGTGTGTGTGTGTGTTGGGTGGTTGGTTTTTATTCTCCGTCCCTCTTCGTTTGTGGAGAGGAGAGAACGTTTCCACCTCTCTCTCTTTCTCTCTCCCTCACTGCATTTCATTATCATCGGCGACGAGGCTTGAATTCGGTGCAGAAGAAGAACGAGGTCGGTGATGCGAGTTCCGGCGGCGGAGGTGGAGATGGTGGTGATGGGAGATTGGTGAGATTATGGAGGTTTCTCTCTCATGGAATTCGACGCCGGAATTCCGATGTCCCAAGCCGCTGTCACCGACGCTCCTTCTTCCTTGTCTCCGCCTTTGGATGAAGGTCAGGTTCAAATGTAGGACTGCAATTCAGTTTACAACCTTTTTCAGCTTTGAATTCGTCTCTCTCTCTCTCTCTCTCTCTGTCTCTTCTTGCTGGTTAATTTGGGATTGATCACTGAAGAATCTGATCGCGTTTGGATGTTTTCGATATTACTGTTTTGATTTAAGTTCAAACGAATTTGTATTCAGCTGGCTTTTATTCCAATGCTTTTGCATCCAAATATTGCTTTTCTATTCCTATCTATTTTTTTATTATTTAACTTTTGTTTTGATAATGATTGATTTCTGTTTCAAAATTCTAGCTTTCTTATGTATTGGAAATACCTTTTTGTTTTTTTCCACAAAAAAATTGCACACACACACACACGAGAGAGAGAGAGAGAGAGAGATAAATGATGTTGCATTGGTAATTTCGAAGATTTAGGGAAGCATGAGTCATGGGTTCATTGATCTGTTCATGTTTTCTTTGTTCTCTGTTTGTTTGGCATGATTGTTATATTGATGGCTTGTATCGTATTGTGGTTATCATTTTGTCCTTTTAGTTGTCATTTAGGTAACAATGAATTTTTGCCAGTTTCAGTTTGGCTTCTGGAAATAGTGTGAAAAAGAAAAAAGAAAGAAAAAGATTGAAAGTGGCTTTCCTTTATTCATATTTTTAATCATTCACTTTCCTCTTTTGTCATTTTTCATTTTTTTGTAAATTGTAAGAACCCATGGTGGTATTAATATCTATTTTTCTTCTCCTTTGCTTTCCCCAGCTGAGTTCCTATTTGAAATAGAATGGCAGCTTCATTTCAAATGTACAAAGTAGCATATTTTTCAAGATTGTATTAAAGGAACTGCATAGTTAGAATATTTATTCTAGAGTAATATTACACGAACCTACATTTTCTTACTCATACTTAAGGTAGTGAGACATTACTGAATATAAATGGAGCCGACTCTTATTTATGTGGGAAAAGAAAAAGTGGTGAGAAGAACTTGCTTTTGTAGCAGTTTTCTTTATTTTAATAATAAATCAAAGCTTGTTACTTGAACTATGTTGTTCACATGATTGAAGTTCGTAACTGATTACTCTTAATTATATTTCAGATACACTGTGGCAAATGAACTTGAGGTCGAGTGAAATAATGGAATCCGGACCTTATCCTATGCGTGAAGGAGAGCCGGACTGTTCTTATTACATCAGAACTGGCCTATGCAGATTTGGTGCGGCATGCCGATTTAACCATCCTCCTAATAGGAAACTGGTAAAAGCCACTGATAGATTGGAAAACTTTAGAATTTAGAATTTGTTAATGCATAGTTAAAATAGTTTCTGTAAATTGTTGACCAGGTTTTTAGATATATATATATATATATATATATTTTGAGATCTCTGTTTTATCATTGTACAATCTCACAACTTTTAGTTGAATTGTTGTTGCACGGTGATATGCATGCTTTTAGTCTTATTTTATGAAGCCTTAACTTGCTTTTCATAGATATATAGAATTGTTAAAAAGTTTAAATTTCATAAATCAATGGATTTTTTTTTTTTTTTTTTGAATCTGTTTTTTTTTTTTTTTTTTTTTTTTTGGGTTGTTAATAGTAACTAAGCATAGTCTTATCCTAATGAATGACTTGGATATACTCTGTTTTTTTTAGTCTCATGTGCCATCAAGATTTATCTTGATATATTACTGCTATTTTTTTTTTTCCTTTCCAATTGACTGTTCAATCAGATTCTATTGAATTCCAGGCTATTGCCACTTCAAGGATGAAGGGGGAGTTCCCAGAAAGAATAGGACAGCCTGAATGTCAGGTATGCATTGATCTTCCATTTTCTCCCATAAAAAAATAAAAAAATGTCAGTGGTTTTGTTATGTACTTTTTAAAGTACCAAATGTACTGTAGGATAAAGTATATTACTTTCTTTGAATAGTAACATTATGCCATAAGAAATTATTCTACGTTATCTTATCCTCAAACTACACAATGATGTGACGTTATAATGTCATGAGCTAAACAGATTTTAAGATGTGTTCAGAGCATTTGTTTATTGTTTGATGCATTTTTTTTTTCTATGCATTTTAACATGGATAGTGGCTGGTCTACATTTGTGTCTAGGTATATGAACTCTTTTTACTGAAAGACTATAGCTGATCACTGGCACTAAGATCCTAACACTTATGTTTTCTCCCTGATATTGGACCGTCCCTATTAATGACTCAATGCTTTTATGGCATTTGTCATATTCGAAGCCCTGCTGCATTGAGGGAAAATAGCTGTGAATGGGGTGATCTACTTGGTGTATGTTGTGTCCTAATTTTTTTTTTTGGGTCAGTCTATTATTGCAACAAAAAGCCACTACATAGAATCCATATGTCGTTTAAAACTCATCTCTGCTGGTTTACTAACCCATTGTCACGTCCAATTGGATTTAATAGTAGGATGGTTTCTAGAGCAGGGCATGAGATATTTCTTGCACCATGTTGAAAGAATTATTATAATTTGATTGGACGATTTTGTGACTGTAGGATTATATGATATATGTTAGTTTTGTTAGATAAAGCTGTTTGTCATTGTGGCCATGTCTCTCCAACTCAGTTTTGAACCGTTCAAGAGCAGCTCCTTATCTGATATTTGAAATTGTTAGGTTCTTGTATTGAGTGGCAGATATTTTTTGATAACTAGACTGTCCTAGTTGATTTAGATATATCTATACATTGTTTAGATGTCTTGATTGATGGATTCTTTGGTCTGGTAGCTAATATAAAATTCATTTGTTTTTTACGTGAGTGGTTGCAATCAATGTAATGTGTTGCAGATATGTTTTATTTTCTTGTTCTCCTTTTGGTTGAACAGTTGAACTTACTAGGGTTGAAGCAACCCATAAGTTAATGGGACTGTTCTAGTTGCTATCTCTGCTATGTTTGCACCCAAGAAGCAATTCCAACATTGAGATGCATCATGCAATTAAGGGAGAATATTGCTCCTGAATATATGTCCATGGATGAGAGAGGGCTAGCCACTGTGAACCATCAACAACTTGTAGAGGGCAGAGAAAAGATTCGATTCAAACGACCCACCAAGCAGATAACCCTTCAATGTTCAATTATTTGGTCCAAATATCCTGTGAAATCATTAGAAATTTATCTTTCTCATAAATGTTAACTAGGAACTTAGGCATCTGCTCATAAATTTACTAGACTAAAGTCTTTATTGTGCAAATAATATCAAGTTCTTATGACTAGAAAATTCAGAGAAAAAGCTCAATAGTATATAGGAAACCTGCATATTAGTGCAAAATTGTGATAATTTCCTATATTTGTTCACTTTGGTTCAAATTCCATCATGTCATTTTCCATCCTCTTCTCAACCACTGAATTTGACTGACTAACTCTTTGCCATCAAAACCTAGGGAGGTTAAAAGTACTAAGATTTGGAGAGGCAGTACTTGCGTAAAACAACTATGCAGGGACGTAAGATTAAAATATATTTCCTATTTCCTACAAGATTCCATCCACTACCCTAGTGCTTCATCAATGTCCATTTAACAAGCCATCACAAAATGTCCTCAGATGTGTTATGGCCAGCAGGGAAAACATATTGACCAGCCATCTGTTATTAATTATAGATTGGAGACTTCTGGCTTGTATTTTCCCCCTGTTTTTTTGCATATGAATTATTCTCTTTAGTATCAGAACACCAAACTGTTACTTTTGCTGGCTGCAGTATTTGTTCTATCTGAAAATGAACATAGATGTGTTTTGGTTTGGTTTATGTAGTGTCTCGCACTTTAGTCCTATCGCTCAAATTTTGCTTGTTAATTGCCTTTGTTAATTGTTTTGGATTGGTCACTGCAAACCGTTTACCTTTTATATTCCAAGGCCAATCTTTCAACTATGGCAATTTTTAGTTTCCTCTTTTAATGTCAATCACCAAGTATTACAATCAAGGCACATTCATTCATAATATAAACCTAATAATACTCTTTCAATCATTCTATCAAGATTAATGTATTCATTCATCTCAACCATCCAAAACATACATTAAAGTTCATATCAAGATTTATTGTGATTTGGCACACCCTTGTGCCCATGTTCATTCCAGGCCTACCTTGTTAGCGTTCTCTACTAAGTCAAATGGGTTTTCCTAGGTTAACCCAAACCCTTTATAGCAATAGGTTTTCCCTAGAACAACCTACAACCTTTGGCTCGTTTCTTTGGCTCCATAGGATGGAGAAGATTAAGAAACGGTGGGGTTGAGTGAGGAGATTATTAGTATTTGGCTCCATAGGATGGAGAAGATTAAGAAACGGTGGGGTTGAGTGAGGAGATTATTAGTATGGTGGTATTAGGTTGGAGATGTAGGATAATGAGTGTTTGTTTGTAAGCCACCGAATTAGTAATATTAGAGATAGTATTAATATATATAATTAATATTTTTTAATTTTTAGCATTTTTTAATGTTATAATTATTTTTTTCTTGTACTTTTTAAGTTCACTTAATTTAGAAACACTTAAAAATATAAATTTTGCATAAAAATTATTTAAAAATTCACTAAATATATTAAAAAAATCATTCATTGTGTTTGGTTTGAGTTTTTTGGATTAATTTTTTTGAAAGCTGAATTTTTTGTTTTTCGTGTTTTTTTGTTTTTAATGAATATTTTTAAAATTTTAAACATTTTTTTTACTTTTTTAGATGTACCTTACTTAGATTTGTCTAAAAAGTAAAAAATTTGTGAAAAAATATTTTAAAAAATTTAATAAATACATAAAAATACAAAAAATGTACTGAATTCTTGTATTTTTTTTGTGTTTTTGGTATTTAGTGAATTTTTAAAAGGTTTTTTTTCACAATTTTTTTACTTTTTAGGTATATTTATGTTAGGTATATTTAAAAATTAAAAAATTGCTTAAAATATTAAAAAAATTCAGTAAAAAAAACGAAAAATAAGAAAGTCGAATTTTTTGAAAACTGTTTTCAGAAAAACGAAACCAAACAAGCTTATTTATTAAAAATTTTAAATATTTCTTTTACAGATAAATTATTTGAAAAAAAGGCATAAATTAACCACAATATAAATATAACCACCACCACTTTTAAACAGTGCTCCACCAAAAAAGCATGGGCTAAGGTCCAAATAGTTTTTGAAACACTAATCCCATGGGACTCATTTCTCAATCCCATGTCACTACCAGCTGTGCTAGTCAGTGGGTTTGTGAATCCAATTGGATTATCAATCCGGTTGTTATTTTCACAACCAAACATGTTATGAATGGGACTCACATCAATCTTAGTCCAGTCCTACCATTGGTGCGGGAAAACAAATGTGACCTTACATTAAGGCCTCGTTTGGGAACATGCTAATTTAGTAATTTTTTGGCTATCTGGCTAAAATATGAGCTAGAAAAAACTAGTATATTTGGGATGACTTTTTGACTTTTTACGAAAAGATGTGCGAAAAGTAGAGAGAAAAGAGAATCTTTGACTTTTTGGTATGGATTGTTGGCCTTTTGGCTAATTTAATAACTTTTTGAATTTTTAGCTAAAAAGGAGGGTTCCCAAATGAGGCCTAAGAAATACAAGCAATAAGGTTTTCTTGGCTTGGCTCAACCCAAAACCAACAACTACCAAGCCCAATCCTAATCAAACATATATACAAGCAGCTTACCAGTACCCTCTTAGTGTCATTGTGTGAGACCGAAAGCCTCTTATTGACTCTGTGAGACTATGAGTGTATGTATGATAGCTCAAGTGTATACCCAAAATATTACAATTAGAAGAGAAAAAAATACCTCAAGCTTCCTCTCACTTAGACAAGGATGGAATCCTGATGTGATTTAAGAAGTATAGAAAGTGCATAAGTTCTCACTTCTCACTTCAGCTATTTCTCATCAATCTTACCAAATGGGCACATTTGGTATTTATATAGCATATTATATTGGCTAGTTAATGACTATATTTTTTAATTTTACCCAACCATGGTCGACCATCAATCACTATGGTCAACCATACTGTACTAAGGCCTTTTGGTCTCTTGGGATTTCTACTGTAGTTGACCACATGCAAGGGGATGGTTGACCATCCTGTGGGTCTTTGTCAGACTGCTCTCTGAACCATCCTATGGTTGACCGCAATCCTCAACATGGTTGACCAAGTTGACAAACATAGGTTTATTGAGCACTGTCTATCCTATCTTGATCTCCACCCCATCCAAAGCCTTCTTTACACTGATGAAGTTCTTCCATAACATTCCTTTGATGCCGGTGAAGATCTCCTATAGCACTTCAAGCTTCCAAGGTGTTGCAGCCAATCCAATGTGCTTTCCTCATGGTAGTGACTTGGGTTACCTAAGGTTGCACATACAAGTAATCAAATTGCCAACCTAATGCTAGTATTCACACTAACATGGTTTTCTCTAAGAATTAGTTTAGGTGCAGTGATTGTTCCTGACGCATTCTGTTTAGAGCTTGAATTCAGCTTCTATTGGTTGAATGTTGTGTAGCATCATGTTATAATTCTCAACATTTTCTCGTCCCTTATATTTTCTTAGGAGCTCAGTTCATCATTTTAAAAATGTTTTCTTCTATGTTTATTTTTTTCTTTCTTTCGCCCCAGTACTACTTGAAGACAGCAACTTGCAAGTTCGGAGCGACATGCAAGTTTCATCATCCTAGAGACAAGGCTGGGATTGCTGGAAGAGTTACCCTAAATATTTTAGGCTATCCACATCGCCCGGTTTGCATTCACTAGTTTACTTTCTCTCATTTCCCTAAATTTAATTTGATGATTTGATACTAACTGTTCATCAATCTGTTGCACATACGGGGCAAAATATATGCTTTTATTTTTGTTCGTTTCTTATTCCTTTCTAATGTAATATATTGGTTGGATGATGATCTATGGCATGAACACAGATATGACAGACAGCCATTTAATTTGTTCATGCTAAATTTATGAATTCTGAGACAGAAAGTAGGACATGGACTTCACAAGGACACGGCAATTAGCAAATCCTTTTTTTGTTGTTGTGTTATTTTATTTGAGGAAGCAATAATTTCATTAACTAAAGATTCAACATGTGCTTCTAATATTCTACGGTCACATATTCTTCAGAATTTATACATCAAGCTACAATGCATGTTCTTGTTAAAGACAAGTACATCAATTATATGTGCGAATCAATTTATCATATTAATAAGTAATAGAAAGCAGCCAAACATATATATAGTTTGTTGATTTACAATACTGAATACGGAAGACTATTTTTTTTTTCATATTTTCTTCTAAAGAAATACACCCATCTAGGTATTTATAGAAATTCAAACAGTGTCCTGACATCTTTATGCTACGTCAGACCCATTTAATTGCATCTTTGGTAGAGAGATCCAAGATTGAATATTTATTTTCAGGTTTTTGGCACCCAATTTGTGTATAGATACGGCATGGCCATACTGCCATATCAGTGTGTCCCACATTTCTGACATGGTCAATGTTAAATTCCATACTTCCTTTTAGGTTGGATGAAGTTCTGTGCTTATTTTATTTTATTATATTTTTTTGTATTGCTTGCAGAATGAAACTGAGTGTGCATATTACTTGAGGACAGGGCAATGCAAGTTTGGGAGCACTTGTAAATTCCACCATCCTCAACCATCTAATATGATGGTCTCACTGCGTGGTTCTCCTGTTTATCCTACAGTTCATTCTCCAACGACTCCTGGTCAGCAATCATATCCAGGAGGAATAACAAACTGGCCTTTATCAAGAGCTTCATTTATTCCCAGCCCACGGTGGCAAGGCCCTTCGAGTTATGCTCCTCTGATTTTACCTCAGGGTGTTATGTCAGTCCCAGGCTACACATACAGTGTAAGCTTTTTGTTCTTTGTCTTCAGAGATGCGATAACATTCATTGAGCCTGCTTGTTTATATTGAAATTTTGAGGGAAAATGCTTCCTTCAATAAGATCCATGGGTCTCCACGGGAGGAAGTTCAATAAAGTATGACTTCTAGTTGCTGCTGTGATTACTTGTAATGAAAACCATTAGGGTAGAAAACTTGACAAAGAAAAAAGGCTTTTTGTTGTGGTTGGTGGTAATGTCATACTGTACTTCTCTCTTCTTCTTTTTTTTAAGAAAGGTACTTCTCTTAGACACTAATAAAATGCTCTTCTGTAGAAACACTTTCACAGTCATGCTTGAGCTATTTTAAGAAGCATATTAGATTTTCTTTTTTTCTAAAAGCAAGATTGTGTTAATTCCTTTTCTTATTGCTGATTTGACTTTTATTTAAATGTTGATTACCTTTCACTCAAGTGGGTCTTTTTTGTTTTCATTGAATGATATGTTATGTTGAGCTTATCCATTCAATGGAGATGTCTACATTGAGTACATAGCCCCTAGGAGCATGTTTGACTAATTTTTCCTTTGCTGATACTTCAAATAACCTTTAAGATAATCATAGACAAGATTTGCTATAGCCTTTGAAAGCTGGACAAAAAATAAAATTCAATTTAACTTGCAAAATGTGAGATGAAATGGGATTCCCATAAACTGGATTATTGGAAACCCTTGAATCTTTTTCTTAGATGTGCAAGAAGCAAGGAACTGAATTTCATTATGTTTTCATTGAAACTGCTATAATTTTTAATGCGAGTCAAGGAAAAACATGTTCTCTGAAGATTGAAAGTTCTGCCAACTGCAATTCTGCTTACTGAGAGATTCCTTTTCCAGGGTCATCCAAGTTCAGTTTCATCTTCCGAGAGCCAGCAGCAAACAGCAGGAAACAATCAAATTTATGGAACTTCACGCCAGAGTGAAGCTGCAAATTCTGGATCTCAAGGAACACTTTCTCCATATCGTTCTGGTTCCGTACCTGTAGGATATTATGCATTGCAGAGGGAGAATGTTTTCCCTGAGAGACCTGGCCAGCCTGATTGCCAGTTTTACATGAAGACTGGAGACTGCAAGTTTGGTGCAGTTTGTAGATTCCATCATCCCAGAGAAAGACTACTGCCCGCTCCAGACTGTATCTTGAGTCCAATTGGCCTTCCACTACGTCCAGTGAGTTTAATTCTCATTGTTCAATCAGATCTCTTAATTCATTTTTAGTACCTCATGCTAAGCAAGTAGTCATTTAGGGCGTGTTTGGTATCATTTTTGTTTTTTAAAGAAAAGACAAAAACTGACATGGAAAACTTGTTTGGCAAACTGTTTTTGGGAATTTTATTTTAAAAACCTCATTTTTAGGCAACTTTTTAAAGTTTTTATTTTTTTTGAATTTCTGAAAACTAGCTTCACATAAACATGCAAAAGGATGGGTGTTTTCAAAATTTTCATTTTTCCCCATAAACATGAAAACAAAAAACATAAAAGATAAAAATGATTCCAAACTGGTTCTGACTCTCTCATCTTAGTTTTGAAGTATTCTTAGTTCAGGCGCTTTGATCATTTTTACAAATCAGGATATAAATTAAAAAATCAAAAATAAAAAGCAAAAGAGAGAATCAAAAGTCACACCGAAGCTTGTTTTTTGTTTGATCCTTGCTAAAGCCAAGTTAAAAGGTATGCAAACAGATGAAAGCCTATGATGTTGATAGGGAATCAGGACGACTTGGTAAGAGGACAAATAAATAGTGAATAAGTGGCTGGGGAAAGGTGGGTGGGATTGTTGTTGATATGGTAAACGTAAATGGACTATACGAATGTAAGCTAAATGCATTGAAGAACGACTATAATTTGTTACATAATGGAGGTTTTTTATTAGTACTTACTAAAGTTGAGTAAGCCTCTCTTATATTCTACAGGGTGAGCCCTCGTGCATTTTTTATTCTCGTTATGGTATCTGCAAATTTGGTCCAAGTTGCAAATTTGATCACCCTATGGGAGTGTTCACATACAACCTCGCTGCGTCATCTTCACCTCATGCCCCAGTTGTTCGACGTTTGTTGGGATCATCCTCTGGAGCTGGTGCATTAGCTTTGTCCTCAGAAGGGCTTGTTGATGCAGGCTCAGCAAAGCCCAGGCGCCTTTCACTGTCAGAGTCAAGACAGATGCCTTCTGGTGATGATAACATTGACACAGAGGGATGAATGCTCCCTCAGAAAATGGGATGAATGCTCCCTTTTCACAATGTTTTGAAGGATAAGCCAGGATTGTTTGTAAATTCGTTTCCCATTGCTGGAGATGGACAGAGTTCATGTTAAAAGTTGGACCTGTTCTTCTGAAAAATGCATTCAGTTGACAGGCTTGGCTCCTCTGAACTTCACTTTGCTGCATTGTATAAATCTGCAAATATTGTTGCATTTGGTGAACCCAATGCGAACATCTCACCTGTTCTAAAAGCCCATCTTTCTGGTATACTTGAATCGGCTTTTTTCTTTTTTTCTTGTAAACCATTTTTGCAATTGTTTATGACTTTTGATATGGCTTTCCCATGGCCTTTTTCATGGTCACCATGGCTTATAATCCTTAAACAGTCTCCTGCTTCTATTTATTATGGTTGAACTTGTTCTACCTTGCCTGCATGTATGTACACTACTAATGTTTGTTCTTCTTCTTATTGCTGCCATCGTCATTGTTGTTTTGCTGCTTCACCTGCAAATTTTATTGGCTTGATTTGTGTGAGAAGCCTTTCAATTACACATTTTCATCTGTTATTTCTGTCCTCCCCAGTTTCTGTAATTAAAATTTACACATAGGTTTCTGAAGGCTCTTGAATTCACTGACATAACCTCTAACCCAATCAGAAATGGACTCGCCGAACTTCATGTCAGCCCATTGAAACATAAATATCAAGGGCAACAGAATGAAATAGAACTGAATTCATCTTCTCACCGGGTGACTTTCCTTAGAACACCTGAAAGCTGATCTTTATTTCTTGTTGCTTACCTCTCTTCACTGCAATTTTTGAGTTGCTTGCTGCAGCCAAATCTGGAAATATGTGTGCTGCCAGGAGGATGGTTTAGAAATATTATGTTGCGAAGTCTAAAGATTTTGACACTGGTCTTTGCAGGAATCTTTGTGAAGTACCGGACAGCTTGTGGAATGTTCAGCTCATTTTGGCAGCTGTGCCAGTCGTCTGTGGCATATATCCATGAAGAAATTTTGACAGGTATGTGTGATCATGAAAATTAGGTCCTTTTATTCTAGAGAAATGATATACAGGCATAAAATTCATACAAACTTTTCCATACAGAGTGATGTGCCTCAAGGTTGATCGTTGTTTTTAAAACAAATCACCCATGAAGATGAGTTTTATTTAAAAAAATGGCATTGGCACATCATTCTTGTGTTGTTTCTTTGTATGGATTTTCTGTATGAATAGAGTTTTCCTTTGTTCTACTTAAATTGAATAAGACAGACCTTTATGATATTTTGATGAAACTTTGACTTCATTCATGAATCATGGTAGGAGGAAACTAGGTTTTTATTGAATGCACTTTTGCAGTTTCTTGCAGCTTTAATGGTAAGTGGTTGTAAATGTGCTTGGATAAGTGGATTTTTATATATGTGGGACCTTTTGTCTTTACTTTGAATGCAGAAAATTGCCTATTTAACTTTGAGCTTCGGGTTTTAAATATGCAGTTTGATAAAATGGGTTTGAGATTTTATTTTGATCCGCACCAATTACTTCCCTGCTCTAAAAAAAAAAATCCTGTTTTCTGTTTCTCTCTAGACCTTATTCTTCATAAATACATACATAATTGTGATGATCTAGTTTCTGTGTCATGTATAGTGAGTTTGAGGCCTCTCATTTTGTTACCACCTCTCTACAAACTAGCTCTGTCAGAAAATGGATGAGTCCAAAAAGAAAAAGGAAAAAAAACAAAGAAAATAATAGTAGGGTTTCCTGAATGTAATTTACAGTGTCTTATTGGCATGACTATGAGCTCATACGAATTCTCTAGTGTGACAGGCCTGTCTTTCAGTTGCTCAAGTGGTGCAGTCACTCTGTATCATCACTCCATTTCTTTGACTGGTTTACTCTGTCCATTGTTTTTGTTTGTTTGTTTGTTCTTTTTTTCACTTGTAAGTCATCCGAGGACATTTTGTGGACTGTATCTTCTAGGTATCAACCTTTATTAGGAATATTTGTAGAACTAGCATTTTTAGTGTTTTACAACTATAATTTGGTTTCTCACCTATAGATATGAGTTCCAACAAGGATTTGTTAGACATTCAATAATTGTATTAGTGACTAGACTAAAAATCTAATAGTAGTTCATTATTGAATTTATGATGCTTGAAGCTTTACATAATTTGCCAGAAGGACCAACAAGTTCATATTATATCTAGATAACTTGTGGTATTTTAAGCTGGTATCTTCAACTTGTTTGTTATAAAAGTTGTCATCCGTTGGTTTGCCAAATTCTTTCTTTTTGCTTTCATAATTGAACTTGAAATCATGGTGTATGACATATTGAATGCTTCGCATGTTTGCCTAGCTTTACCTAGAAATGCATTTGATGCTCATTGATTCCTTTGCATAGGTAGTCTCTTGAATAATTGGTGTCTCACTGAGCCTGTTTTGTGCATTTTCTTGCAAACTGTAAGTTAAAAATTAGAGAGTAGAAAGTAAATGCATCCCTCTCATAGGCTGGCTTATCAATAACAAATTATTTTTAAGTCTTATTTAAGTTATTTTTGCCTTATAAGTTGTAAGTAGAAATTATTTCAAACACGTTAACAGATTCTCAGCTCCAAGCAGGGCCATTAATTATTTTGATTATTACACTGTACACATAACGAGACTACTTTTGCTTTTTTGCCTTATTGTCCGAATATAAACTCTTGACTACTCGACACTGTAAATTGTGTGTGTGTGTTTGTGTTTTGTTCCCTGTTCTAGTTCATCCAGTTATTGTAGTACTAGGATTTTCTGTTGTCTATAATATTCATCTTAGCCTCATTATTGTTCTATAGTGCTATTCTTTTAAAAACACTTGAATTTCTTATAAGTTTCTATTTAACTTTTTGAAAAAATAGAAACTAATATTTACTATGTTTGGATCTTGAATTTTAAAAATAAAAATAAAATACTTGTTTTATTGTATCTTTCTGTTTACCAAGCACATGGGACAAATACACGGGCTTGCAAAATTCACTTTTATCTCATCCATGTTGAACCCAAGTCTTGTCTTGGATCTTGAATCGCGTAGAGCACGCTACATATTTTGAACTTTCAAGAACTACTAATGAGTGTGATGCGCACAAAGCACACTAGTTATGATATTATTATTGACCTAATTTATTATACAAATTACAAATATCAAAAATCTCTTAAATTATGTCACATCATCAATTGGTATACTAGTTAGTGCACTAATTAGTGCATATGACATTATTTTTAAAATAAATGTGAGATTTTATTGATTGCTATTTGTTTTTATTTATTTATTTTATTTTATTTTATTTTTTGTAAAAATAGGAGGCGATAAAGAATAGACATAAGAGTAAAATAAGAAATTAGAGTGTGGATCAACTTTTGAAATTTTAGTTGCCATCTCATTTGTGGGAAATTCCTCCCCAACAATTCTCACAAATGAGTTGGGAAGACAGAATGCATGTAAGGAGAGTTTTGAGAAAGCATTAGTGTTGGACAACTTTTCAAATGTTGCTTGCCATGTCATTCGGGAAGATTTGGAGGGGGGATAAATTATGTAGATGAATTATTTTTTTAAATAGTATATGTCTAAGTTATCCAAAGGAGGTAAGAAAATTTATACATTTATATATTACTAAAAAATGAGGTTTTAAGAATAAGAGTTCTGAGAAGTTAAAATATATATTTTTTAATTTTTATATATTTGAAAATAGTATAAAACATCTATTAGAACATATTCAATTTTTTGTGTTAAAAAAAAAAATTATCTTCGCCAAGACTTTTAAGCACTTAAAATTTATGAGTAAAAAATTTCGGTCTCAACTCAATTAATTGAAAAAAAAAAAAACCCTCAATTTAGAATAAATAACCTATTTGAATAGTTTATATTTCAAAACTCAAGGTGCTATCAGTGAATAAAAAATAAGAAAAAATCATTCATTTCCTGCTTTATCTAAAATCTTAAGGGGCAAATTACATATACACCCCTCGAGGTTTGGTTAAATTACAGATACCCCTTGAGGTTTCGGAAATTACATCCCGCCCCCTGAGGTTTGTATTTTCATAACAATTTACCCCTTGAGGTTTATATTTCATAACAAATTACCCCCTAATTTCTTATGCAAATATAGCATTCAGGGGGAATTTGTAATTTCTCAAACCTCAGGGGGGTATTTGTAATTTAGCCAAACCTCGAGGGGTGTATATGTAATTTGCCCAATCTTTTTAAGTTAAGCTTCACATTTTATAACATTTTTATAAAGCATGTGTACGGTTTTCTTAACTTTTTTTCACAATATTTCATAATATAAATTACAAAATGTCATAAATTTTCTTACTATAAAATATCATAACTTTTTTGACAAAAAAAATATCATAATTATTCCATTTGCAGCTTGAGGGTGGACACCATATATTCATTATTCTAGCTTTCCCACAAAGTGACATAACACAATATAAATATTTATAATTTTTATCGCAAAAAATCATGACTTTCTTATAATTTCTTATAATATGCACAATTTAGGGGTTAATGTTTAGATATTTTACTCTGTTATTCATGTCATGATAATAAAAAAAATAGATAAATTACATTTTAACCTCTTGTGATTTACTCAAAAAATACGGAGCTCCCTTATAGTTTCATTTATAACACTTAAACTCTTGAATTTCATATCAAAGTGCAATTTTGGATGGATGTAACAGAAGTTATAAAAAGTATAAATTACTCTCATTTCTTCATCTAATTTTCTTCTTAATGTCATTTCAAATCTGAATATTCTCTCATTTTTCTTTAAATTTTTTGTATTCCTCTTCTTTTTCTTCTTTCTCATCCCATGGCAAATCACACACCTCTCATCCCATCATCAAATACATATCTCTCTCTAGAATTTAAACCCAAATAAATACTCATCTCTTCCTCTCTAGAATTTAAAACCCAAACAAACACTAATCTTTTTGTCTTTAGAATTTGGACCCAAACAAACAATCCATAGTTGCAAACACCTACCAACCTCATCCCATCTCCTCCACTCAACCAACACCCACCACTACCCACTTTCTTCTTGCCACTACCCACTATCTCCTCTCTCTAAGTTTTTTTCTTTCCTTTTTGCCATGGCTGTTGAATATATATATACTAGTGTATGCCCGTGCCTAAAGGCACGGTGTAAATAATGTTGGGATTAAAATACAGTTGTAATTTATGAAATCTGTGTCATTTTTTTTGATAAAGATACTAAGAAAATATAAAGAAATATTATTCTTCTACGCTATAATATTCTCAAGACACAGAAAAGGGGAAAAAAAACTCACACACAAATATTATTGTCAACTCGAATTGCTACGGAATTTGTTTCCCAATGGAAACCAAGCACCCTATAACCAACAAATAACTTCAACTAATAATAATAATAATAAATAAAATCAAATATTAATAGGTACCAAAGAATATAGTTCAAATTTATCATAATTTTAGCAATAAAACAAACTAATTAATCTAATTACAAATCAAATTAATTAAATCCAGCATAATTAATTACAAATCTAATTAATTAAAGTTTCTAGCAACTTTTCCTATGGTTTCAACATATCTGGCATAACTAACTAATTAAAATACCTGTTTGGGATAACATCTCTACCAAAACCAAGACACTGAAACAGAGCCAGCAACCCACAACCTAATCTTCTCCATTGTCGCCGTTGAAGTTGTTGCACCCTATGAAGCAGATCACATAATGGTGCTTAAAGATGGAGCAAAAAAAACATAAAGAGATAGATTAATGGTGCCCGAACAAATAATCCAAGTCAATTATGAAAAATTACAATTCAGAACATTAGCACTTGTTCTTGAGTACAAAACCCAATAAAAAAAAAATAATTTTGATAAAAATACATTCATAATAGACCTTTCAGTCAAACCCAAAAATGACAATAACCAAAATTTCATTTTCTTCACTTTGGCTGCCACTTTCTCAGCAACCAAACAGGACAGAAATATTTTTGTATAACTACATCTGATAAATTTCTATGTTGATAACAAAAAAAAAAAGGAAAAACAAAAACAAAAACAAAAACAAACCCAAATAAAAGAGGGGAAGTGTGAGAGGGAGAGGGAGAGGGAGAGGGAGAGGAGGCAAAGATTTATTATCATATTAAAATCCAAAACCCAAATAAAAACCCTAGATTCTCACACCTTCCAAAAAAAAAACAACAGTGAGTATAACTTTCTACCTTGGAGCTGTGTAGAGAGAGAGGAGGTAGAGATTGAGGCAGATGGTAGAAATCACCCCCTGTCAGTGGTGCTATATTCCGTCAAAGCTATATTTCGGAAATCACCACCGGAGATTAAACTTCTAAAGAGACAAAGCTTAGTAGAAAGAGGAAGATGTGTGGTGGGAAGAAGATGTGTGAGAGAGAATGGAGTTTCAAGTTTTGAAATCAAAATCAGAGAGAGGGAGA